ACACACATTTCCCTCTTTCTTTGGGTCTTTATTTCTGAAGGCTCCTGTGTCATGCAAAACTTACATAAATTTGCATGCCTTTCTCATGTGTGAGAGGAAAATAAATCTCAGGACATTCAAATCACTTAGCCAAAGGGAAAGTCAAGCTGAGAACTGTGTCAGGCAAACCTGCCTCCCATTCTATTCCTATATATGTAGCTACAAAGACTGGAAAAAAGCTACATACCTCCCTCACAAGGAAATTCCTTGTGGACAAAGGAGAGACAGAACTTAGTCATCCCTCTGCTCACATGAGACAAATGCATATCTGATTGCTGCCCTTGCCGTACTTTTTCACTAAACCAGACTAAGGCATAAGTGATTATTCCTGTAAATTGTTTATTGAGTGAAAGGCTAATCAGAAACTAAAAAGATTGCAACTTTTTGTGTCTTATCTACCTATGACCTGGAAGTCCCCTCCCTCCTTCAAGTGGTCCCGCCTTTCTGTAACAAACCAATGTACATATATTACATACATAAATTGATGTCTGAGTCTGTGTCATGGGTGCATCATTAATGTTGAAAAATAAACTTTCTAAGTGGACTGAGACCTATCTTAGATATTTTGAGTTCACACTTGTTAATGTGTCTTTTGTTATAGGCATCTCAACCATCAACCTAGTGATAAGTGAAGAAAGAAATCTTTTCTCCCCTACATTTGCATGCCCCTCTGAAGGCTGGAAAAAATCCAAAATTGTGGTGAATTATCTAATTTATAATATGTATCTCTTCTAGGCTCTTAATGCTGCCCCCAAAAAACTTATATTTTCATGATTTTTCATTTTCTTACCCTCCTAAAAAAACCGGTTATTTTATGCTTTTCTAATCTAAAGAAACTTGCCAAGGAACCCCAACACCAAGGTTACCCATCTGCTGTGTGTTCTGCCTCCCTTCACATTTTCATGGATGGACTACTGTGTTCCTGCTTTGGTCGAATGTTATGTCCCCCCAAAATTCACATGTTTAAATATAACTCCTAAAGTGATGGTATTAGGAGGTCGAATCTTTTAGAATTGATTAGTTCATGAGGCCAGAACCCTAAAAAATTAAATTAGTACCCTTTTAAAAGAAACACAAGACAGCTCCCTCAACCTTTCTTCCATGTTAAGTTAATAGCAAAAAGATGGCCAACTTTGAAGCCAGAAATGAACCCTCACCAAGCAGCGAAACTGCTGATGCCTTGATCTTGGATATCAGCCTCCAGAATTGTAAGAAATAAATTACTGTTGTTGATAAGCCATCCAATCTATGGTATTTTCTTATAACTGCCTGAATGGACTATGACAGTTCCTAACTAATGCAAAGTCCTCAATCCTTGTGCTTCCCCAACTTAAGAAAATTAGCGCAGTGATTCTCCATTTACTCTCCTCCGTTAGCAAATTTTACCTCTCCACTAGATCACTGTCAACAAAATAAAAACATGCTACACTTCCTTGACTCCATATTTTTTTTTCCACCTATACCATTGTTACAGGAAAGGGGTCCCCATCCAGACCCCCAAGAGAGGATTCTTGGATCTTATACAAGAAAAAATTAAGGGCGAGTCCACAGTGCAAATCAAAAGCAAGTTTATTAAGAAAGTAAAGTGGTGAAAGAACAGCTACTCCATAGACAGAGCAGGACATTTCCTAAAGTAAGAGGAGGAACATGTCTGCCCTAGTACAATGATTGTTTATATACAGGATAAAAAAGATCATGGGGGGATGTGCTCTGCTACAAGGGTTTGTGATAAAGGATTAATTTTCTTAATTACTATATTTTGCAAGAATCAATATTGTTGTCTTTAAAGCAAAATTAGGAAAACCTTTGTTCTCAACATATCCTGATATTGGAACACTCCCATGTCTGGGTCTGTTGAGTAAACATTATCAATCTCTTCCTTTAACCATAAACATCAAGAGACTAGGAATGCCTAACTTTCCACGCATGTGGCCCTAGCAAGTCCCAGCCTCATTTTACCAGCCCTTACTCAAGGTGGAGTCACTCTGGTTCAAATGCCTCTGACACCACCACATATTCCCAATTTATTACATCTCATTTTATTTCAAATGCCTTCTAATCCAGCTTTTGCTTGTACTAATCTTCTAAAATGGTTTTGTTAAGATCATCAATGACTTCCACGTTGCTAAATCCAGTAGTCAATTTTCTGTTCTCCTTTTCTTTACCCATTACCAGCAGTTGATACAGTTGATTACTTCCCCTTTGAAATATTTTATCCACTTGGCCTCTGGTTATAAGATTCACTTGTTTTTCTATTATTTTTTTGGCCACTCCTCCTTGGTCTCCTTCTATAATTGTACCTTTTACCCCAGTTTCTAAAGGTAGGAGTGCCTCAAAAGTCTTAGAGCTTTTCTGTACTCTACATACAATCCCCTAGTAATTTCATCTAGGATGAATCCAAAATTTATATTCTCAGGTCAGAGCTCTCCAACATACTCTGGATATAACTGCTATATTCTGCTATGACATTTATTTTGGGAATGCAAATTTGTATCAAAGTAATTAATATTATGGCATTTTGTGATTGGTATTAATTTGAGTATAATGCTATTTTCAGATTTGCTTTTATTTATGCTAATTTTGTTCCACTATGGGAATATGTAGGTATATTTCTTAGAAGCAGGGATTTTAATTTTGGTTTACTTATCTAGCTGCTGTTTGCTTTTGTTTTGTTTGTTTGTTTCATAAATATTTGTAAATGAATGAAAAAGTGGATTCAGGAGATGTGAAGTTCATGGGAATTACATGCAAAAATGTTTGTATACATTTAACTTTCTGTAGAGAAGGATAATAATTTTCTTCAGATGTTGAAAAGGTCCTTAATCATCCACACAAACCAGATTAATAATATAATTCTAGCAATAACCCAATAGGTCATTTTTTGAGCATCAGTATTAGCCCATTTTACTTAAAATGTTTATATAGCGGTTATAATGCTGAAACATTGTGCCCATTTGTAGATTTGTTATGCCAGACAATTGAAATGTGCCAATGTGCTAACAAGGTTTGAAGGAGGTAAATCTCATACATTGGCCTGAAAACCAAATCATCACAAATATGAACCACAAAAAGATCATATATATGAATTTTGAATAATAAACTCCATTGTTTAAAAAATGGATTTTAACATGTATAACGACAGTATTGCTAACATTTTTGGTCTCAGAAAAGCAACCTATCATTTATAATTCTATTATATAATGTTAACATTTCGCAGTATACTCTTTGGGGCTTCTTTTCATGCATAATAGCATAATAGCTATTGCTTTTAGATGAACAGGTATTGTGAAGTTGTTAACCTTCTTTTGTTCTCTGAAAGTTTAAAGTTTTATATGGAATACCAACAGAATTTTCTGAAGTATAAAATATGAAAACTAAAGAAACAGCAAAACAGTTTACAGAAAAAATAAAATTAATGTTTAAAAAATATTTGCAGAAATGATATTTATTATTCACAAAACTATTTAGAACTTTATTTATACCTTCTTTGTTCTTATTTTGCAAAATGCCATGTTTGGTTGCCCAGAACGACTGCTACAGGTAGACACACTGACAACAGTAAGACGAAAGCCTAGTGTAGGTAGGAAAGAATGGACACTATATAGAGACTAACTTAGATATATAAAAAGGAGAGCAATATGAGGCTATTTGTATGGTAACAAATAGCTGTAAGTGGCTCAAATTGTTCACAAGGTCATGGTTTTACGGTCACTATAATAAAATCATAAGAAGTATTGAGGGGGAAAAAATGGAGTAATCTCTAATCCAGGCAGTAAGAAACAATCCAGGTAAAGAAAAAAAAGGAGGCGCTGGGTGCGGTGCCTCATGCCTGTAATCCCAGTACTTCTGGAAGCCAAGGCAGGTAGATTGTCTGAGCTCAGGAATTCGTGACCAGCCCAGGCAACATAGTGAAACCCCGTCTCTACTGAAATACAAATAATAGCCGGGCATGGTGGCCTGTGCCTGTAGTCCCAGCTAGTTGGGAGGCTAAGGCAGGAGAATTACTTGAACCTGGGAGGCAGAGGTTGCAGTTAGCCAAGATCACACCACTGCACTCCAGCCTGGGCAACAGAGAGTGAGGTTCCATATCAAAAGGAAAAAAAAAAAAAAAAGAGAGAGAGAGAAAGATTAAATTTTCAGCTATTGGAAATATTTGGCTTTTTAGAATGATCCATTTTCAAAGGATTACTGCTTCAGCTCTACAGTTAAAATATTGACTTTTTCATTGAGAAGTAGTTGTCCACAAATGACTCATTAAAGATCTGTTTAGGAAGATGTGTGACTCAAAGAGGAGGCGGGTGAAATCTTTAATCACAATACTGACCTTTGTATTTGGTTAATGAAGACAAATTAGGAGCCTAATTGAAAGATTTGTATGTAGATGAAGGGGAAATGAAGGTAATTATTAGGGTGGGGTGAGAATTCTGCTGAGAGAGATATAATCAAACATGAAGGAATTGAAATAGAGATTCAGAAATAATTGCCTGGTTTCTTCTTTATCATCTTCGATCTAAGTTCTGAGCCAATATCTCAGTCAAATGGAATGGGACCCATACCACACAGAAACCAACTCCAAAAGAGAAACTTCTGAACCAGTCTTGTTTGAACTGATTGACTGTTAGGTACGATGTTAAAAAAAAAAATGGATCATTGAACTATATTATTCTATATGAGACCTGTAAATAATAACAGAAACTTAGTTAGAATTATAAATCTCTTTGATAAAATAGATGGGCCATCCTTTAAAATCTGATATTCTCCTTTATGCTTACACATAAGTGCATCTCATTTTTGTTGATTGAAAGCTAAAATTCTTCCAGGCCCTTCCCAGGATCACCCTCTCCAGGAAGGACAGCATTGCCATAGCTAGTAAGATCATTGATGACTTCATCCATTCCTTGTTGAAAATTAGTTGAACAATGTTTCATTGGTAAAATTACTATAATTCAAAGGAAAATTACCTTTAAGGTTGTTTTGAACTTCTAAAGCTATATCAATTGCATTAAAGGGCAGAACAGGTTCGTTGGCAATTTGCAAAATCACTTCTCCTGAGAGCTGAAAGAAAAAAAGGAAAAAGAAAATACTAGCATTCAGTAATCAGGAGTTTTCATTTGTTTGTTTTTCATTATTTCAGGTATTTTAATACATCTAGAGGAGCGAAAACACACAGGAATAATATAGTTTTATAAAAATCTCTTTTTCTTTTAAACCTTTATTTAATTTTATATTTCTATAAAGAAAAAGTCCTCAGCTCTTTTTCATGTCTCAGAATAGCATAAAGAAATATATCATTCCTTTTGTGAGCTGAAATATTAAGAAATGGCTTCCCTAATTGAAAGAGTTGTAATATTTAGACTTTAAATAATTCCTTATAGTTCATAATATCACATGATCAAACAAACAGTAGAGAGGAGCACCTGAAAATCAATGCCTGGTTATTGGACTAAGGAAAACTTCAGACAAAATTAATGATCGATCTATTTTATTTGATAACCTACAGGCCACATTTGGCAGTTTACTTTGAAGGTAAACAGGCTTCCAAGTTAACTTGTTTTGTGATTTATGGTAACATCCTGTCACTGAGTAAAGAATTTTTTTCTGAGTTCCCCAAATTGCATACTGATGAATGCATAACCTAATGACATTGAAAAGGATGCTGATTTGTTTTTGAATTGTGAAGTTTTGCTGATTTGTTTCAGAATCAGGAAGTTTTACCAATTGTCTTGTATGTAGACATTGTAACCTGTATGTTGATATCTGTGTCCAGTGATTGTAACCTCTGCATTATACCCTCCAGTATAAAGAACAACTCTGATAGGAGGAGTCTTCCTCCTTTCTTCTAAACTTCCTTAGGAAAGCCTCCCAACCTGTAACAGACTCTTTGTTGGTGTGTCTTCACGGGTAGATCTTCACATTTGGCTTCCAATAACCCTTCTTCAAAATCTTAGATACGATTTTCCTTCGTGCTTTTATTCTATTCCTAATTGCTTTTTTAATTTTTATAACTTTCTATAATCGAAACTAATAGTATTAATACATCTTTGAGATCAATGCTTAAAATAAATACAAATTTTAAAAGGCATCCCCAAAGCTCATATCCGTAATTTTTATACATGCATAATTCCCCCATAACCCCACCCCAAAACTGTCTGAATATTGACACATGCACTACAGCTGAACTAGCATCTGCTTAACAGGCTGAACAAGTCATAAGCATTCATACACATCTCAAAGGACCTTAGGGCTGACAGAAAGTGCCATTGTTACCTCTCTCTCTCTCTCTCTCTCTCTCTCATAAGTGATATTTAATATTTACCTGGGCTTAACGAATGTCCCTACATCTCTCATAACCCTGAAGGCAGCACACAGGGAAATGTGACCGTGTTGATATTATTAATGCAGTATGAAATGTGGTTAGTGAATGAAAAACATTGTCTTGTGAAACTACACAGGGGAAATTAGCACACTAACTTGAGACACAATGAATAAAAGATATAATTTACAAGGAAATTATTCTGTTATGTATCCAAATATATATATTCAACAAGGTGCAAATTCCATTTAAAATTTGATACGGTTTGGCTCTGTGTCCCCACCCAAATTTCATCTTGTAGCTCCCATAATTCCCATGTGTTATAGGAGGGACCTGGTAATAGATGACTGAATCATGGGGGTATATCTTTCCCATGCTGTTCTTGTGATAGTGAATGTGTCTCACAAGATCTGATGGTGTTAAAAATGGGAGTTTTCCCGCTCTCTTTTTTCCTGCTACCATCCTTGAAAGATGTGACTTGCTCCTCCTTGTATTCCACCATGATGGTGAGCCTTCCCCAGCCATGTGAAACTGTGAGTTTTCCATTAGACCTCTTTCCTTTGTAAATTGCCCGGTCTTTGATATGTCTTTATCAGCAGCATGAAAACAGACTAATACAATAAATGGGTACCAGGAATGGGGCACTGCTGAAAAGATACCTGAAAATGTGGAAGCAACTTTGGAACTGAGAAATAGGCAGATGTTGGAACAGTTTGGAGGGCTGAGAAAAAGACAGGAAAATGTGGGAAAGTTTGCAACTCCATAGAGATTTGTTGAATGACTTTGACCAAAATGCTGACAATTATAGAGAAAATGAAATCCAGGGTGAGGTGGTCTCAGATAAAGATAAGGAACTTGTTGGGAACTGGAGCAAAGGTGACTCTTGTTATGTTCCAACAAAGAGATTGGTGGCATTTTGCCTCTGTCCTGGAGATTTGTGGAACTTTGAATTTGAGAGAGATGATTTAAGGTATCTGGTAGAAGAAATTTCTAAGCAACAAAGGATTCAAGAGATGACTTGGGTGTTGATAAAGGCATTCAGTTTTAAAAGGGAAACAGACCATAAAAGTATGGAAAATTTGCAGCCTGACAATGCGATAGAAAAGAAAATCCCATTTTCTATGGAGAAATTAAAGGCAGCTAGAGAAATTTGCCCAAGTAAAAAGGAGCCAAATGTTAAATCATCAAGACAATGGGAAAAATGTCTATAGGGCATGTCAGAGACCTTTGTGCAGCCCCTCCCATCACAAGCCTGGAGGTTTTGGAGGAAAAAATAGTTTTGTGGGCCAGGCCCAGGGGCCCTCTGCTGTGTTCAGTCTGGGGACTTGGTGCTCTGAGTCCCAGCTACTCCATTCTTGACTAAAAGGGGCCAAGGAACAACTCAGGCTGTTGCTTCAGAGGATGGAAGCCTCAAGTCTTGGTAGCTTCCACATGGTATTGGTCCTGTGGGTACACAGAAGTCAAGAATTGTGGTTTGGAACCTCTGCCTAAATTTCATAAGGTGTATGGAAATGCCTGGATGCCCAAGCAAAAATGTTTGCAGGGGTGAGGCCATCATGGAGAACCTCTACTAGGGCAGTCCAGAAAAGAAATGTGGGGTCACAGCCCCCACAGAGTCCCTACTGGGGCACCACCTAGTGGAGCTGTGAGAAAAGGGCCACCATCCTCAGACTCCAGAATGGTAGATCCACCGGCAGCTTGAACTGTGTACCTGAAAAAGTCACAGATGCTCAACACTAGCTGGTAAAAGCAGCCAGAAGGGGGGCTATACCCTGCAAAGCCACATGGGCGGAGCTTCCCAAGGCCGTGGGAACCCACATCCTGCATCAGCATAACCTGGATGTGAGACATGGAGTCAAAGGAGATCATTTTAGAACTTTAACACTTGACTGCCCTGCTGGATTTTGGACTTGCATGGAGCCTGTAGCCCCTGTGTTTTGGTCAATTTCTCCCATTTGTAATGGCTGTATTTACCCAATGCCTGTACCCCCATCGTATCTAAGAAGTAACTAATTTGCTTTTGATTTTACAGGCTCATAGATGGAAGGGACTTGCCTTGTCTCAGATGAGACTTTGGACTGTGGACTTTTGAGTTAATGTTGAAATGAGTTGAGACTTTGGACTGTGGACTTTTGAGTTAATGTTGAAATGAGTTGAGACTTTGGGGAACTGTTGGGAAGGCATGTTTGGTTTTGAAATGTGAAGATACGAGATTTGGGAGGGGCCAGGGGTGCAATGATATGGGTTGGCTCTGTGTTCCCACCCAAATCTCATCTTGTAGCTCCCATACTTCCCACATGTTGTGGGAAGGACCCAGTAGGAGATGACTGAATCTTGGGGGCGGGTCTTTCCCATGCTGTTCTTGTGATAGGGAATGGGTCTCATGAGATCTGATGATGTTAAAAACAAGAGTTTTCCTATACAAGCTCTCTCTTTTCCTACTGCCATCCACGTAAGATGTAACTTGCTCCACCTCGCCTTCCGACATGATGATGAGGCTTCCCCAGCCTCATGGAACTGTGAGTTCTCCATTAAATCTCTTTCCTTTGTAAATTGCCCAGTCATCAGTATGTGTGTGTGTTTTTTTGTTTGTTTTGTTTTGTTTTTGAGATGGAGTCTCGTTCAGTCACCAGGCTGGGGTGCAGTGGTGCAATCTGGGCTCACTGCAAGCTCCACCTCCCGGATTCACACCATTCTCCTGCCTCAGCCTCCCGAGTAGCTAGGACTACAGGTGCCTGCCATCATGCCCGGCAAATATTTTTGTACTTTTTTTTAGTAGATACGGGGTTTCACCGTGTTAGCCAGGATGGTCTCGATCTCCTGACCTTGTGATCCGCCTGCCTTGGCCTCCCAAAGTGCTGGGATTACAGGCGTGAGCCACCGCACCCAGCCTGCTATGCCTTTATCAGCAGTGTGAAAATGAACTAATACAATATTAAAAGTTATATTTCCCAATTGTTTGCCCAATTCAAGTCATAAAAATACAATTCAATTTGATCTTCTTCTATATGCTTGGGAAAATGTGTTTATTAGAAATAAAGAGAAGAAAGAACCCCTTTTTAATTTTTATTTTAAGTTCTGGGGTACATGTGCAGGATATACAGGTTTGTTACACAGGTAAATGTGCACGATGGTGGTTTGCTGCACTTATCAACCCATCACCTAGGTATTAAGCCCCACGTGCATTAGCTATTTTTCCTAATGCTCTCCCTCCTGCCACCCTACCCCCCTACCAGACCCCAGTGTGTATTATTCCCCTCCTGCATCCATGTGTTCTCACTGAAGAACCACTTTTGATAATCTTTTATTCCTTTGTTTTCTCCCAAATGTAGCAACCAATTTCTAACATACCTTTGCAGAGACTTATCCTCAACATTGGAGTGCTGAAAAAGTATTCTACCACATGAGGCTTTGACATACTGAGCTAAAGAAAGAGCCTCAAGGTCTCTCTGCCCTTGCTTGCCCCGTACCTTCCCAACACTTCTGTCTTTCTCAAAGCAAAAGATGAGGATGTTCTCTGAAGTTCTCTTATCCATCTAAAAACTGTGAACCTCCAAAGAGGAACACAATTACCTTTCATCCTCTCTTGGAAATCTCATTGTCAATGAGGGATGCAACCACACCTGGATGGACTTTTTCAAACAGATAGTGTTGCCTCTAAGGATGATTCAAATACTAAAGAGAATCATTTACAAATTAATTTTGTCTCCCAGGTCCATTTATTATCCCTAATAATAATTTA